TGTGTGTGTGTGTGTGTGTGTGTGTGTGTGTGTGTGTGTGTGTGTGTCCAGGGGCCCATTTAGGAGGGAAACAGCCCAAGAGGGAAAGGTCTTACAGACCTGCCCTCACATTTGAAAGATGGGAAATGCAGGAGATAGCAAACACAGGACCTTCCTGGGAGTGGCATTTAATGAGTTGGAGAAAGGTAAATATAGATGGCATGATACCCCTTGTCAGTCCAGTTCCCAGGACCCAGGCACACTGTGACCCTCAATATATTTTGGTTGAATGAATGAATGGAAGACGGCAGTTTGCCTGGTGGTGATTTCCTAGCCTTTATGGTTGCAATGAGATTTGGTATTTACTCATGGAAGAGGCAGCCTCGTTGTCCTCTTCCTCACATGTGCGTGAAAAAGGTTCATCAGGGTGATTAATTCCATTTTACAGATGAACAAGCATAGAGGCCAAGGACCCTGCTGAACAAGGACACGTAACAGATTCATCTCCTAACTCCTGGTCCCTGGGCTCTGGACCTTGATGTTTTTCTTTCTTGTTTCCTGGAGTCATCCCCACAGGTCTCAGAAAATCCTCAAGGTCCAAAGTCAGGCCACTACTTAGTGCTTGAATCCCGTCCACAACACCCTACCACGTGGCCTTCCAGCCCATCCACCTCCAGCAATGCGAAACTTACTACCATCTAAGGATCCACTTCCATTTTGGTCCATCACAAGGAGCAGTGGGCCCCTAACAAGCCTGTACCACAGACGCAGGTGGTGTTGGCCTTTGTTTAACCAGCTGCCGATCGGCCAAGTTAACGAGCTGTCTCCCAGGTAGATGGACTGAACGTGTCACTGGGACCTTTGATTTGGGCCCCGCCCACTTTGGATGATTCTCAGGCCACTTAGGGCTCTGTTTTCACTGGTTCCCAACAGTCCCTTTAGATACCTGAGGATGTCTCTGCCAAATTTACTGGCAGGAAGTTACTGACTCAATGAAATAATGTAGGGCCCCACCAAGTTCCTTAATTCCTGGTCCCTTAGCTTTCCCGCCTGTGGAATGGCACTGGGTGAAGACCTACGGGCACTAAATAGTCTTTTAGAACATCTGCCCCAGTCAGGATAACGGTGAGGATAATGACGATCACCCAAGTTCCGACGGAAGTCATACTTTTCAAAGTGCTTTTACACGTCCTGTATTATTTGGTCTTCATAGCAGCCATCTAAGTACAGTGACTCTGGGGAGGATCCTAGTGGGAGAAGGAAGTCCCCTGCTCAGCGGGTGTCTGTCTCAGTGACTCCTCTCCTCCCTGTGGCCCTGTGGAGTTACCATGAATAACAGCCAAAGCCAGTATGGGTGATCCCAAGGGCCCAGGATCAGTATGAGGTTCCTCATTTGATGTGAACAGATGTCATCACAGGGAACATTTACTGAACCATTTCTATAGTGAGGTATTATACAAAATCCTCCAAATGTATCCCTTCATCTAATTCTCACACCTCTCTCTGCAAGAAGTATTGTTATCCCCATTTTACAGATGAAGAAATTAAGGTTCAGACCAGTTAAAGTTTCATGGGCTTGGGGCGGGAGCCAGGACGTGAACCCAACCTGTAGGCGCTAAACTCATAACCATTGCATCGCCATGCATATGCATGGGGATGCACCATATGCGTCACCTCTCGCTTGAAACAAAACCCAAACAACACACCCACAAAACCTTCCAATCGGCCTTGGGTGGAGGTAACTGAACTGACTCCTGAAGTTCTGCCTGTGGTGGGTGCGAGACATGCCCGCAGTTGCCCACGCTGTGGGGGCTGCCTCTGGCTGCTGGCTGCCTGTTTTGAAGAACTAGACTCCCCCATGTCCTCCATCCACCACCAACTCTCCCCGACTTCCTTCCAGATTAACTGGGGGAGGGGCACAGAAAATGTTCATTGCCCATAAAAATTAACTTGAAGCAGTTGGCTTTGGCAACCTCTTTACAGGCTCAGGAGCCAGCCTGGACAAGGAGTTTCTATCTGCATAGATGGGTTCATGAATATTACCATTTATTATTTTTAGTTTCTCAAGAAAATTTATCACGTGTCATCTTTTTTTATCTTCCCCACTCTCACCACTTGCCACGTTCACTTGTGTCCCTCTTTTATTCATCTCACTTCCTATATTTTATCCCATGCGTGCATGTCTTATATTCATCCTTTAAGAATTGGTTGAAATGTCGCCTCCTCTAGGAAGCCCTCCGTGATGTCTCTAGGCAATTTAGCAATTCCTCTGCTGCCCCTTGTGTATACTTTTATAACAACGCTTAGAAAGCAGCTGTCATTATTTTTTCAAACATCTCATCTCCCTCATTAGCTTGTATATCCCTGGAGAAAAGGACGTGTGTATCTCACAGCCCAGCAAGTGCTTGGCACCTCATAGGTGCTCATATAATATTTACAGAATGAAGGGATGCTTCGTAAGCTTTATGTCTCATGGGACTTTAAACAATAATAATAATTTTAAAATCCTTTGCAGAGACTGTCATACATTTTTGCAAAATGTCATTCTCAAGCATCTTGAGAAACTTTTGGGGACTTTTGTCTCTTTAGAAGCTTCCGGCTGTCCTCCTCCTTTCTGAGGGAAATCCCATGGCACGCAGAGAGGAAGCTCAAACTGGAGATGCTGCCTGAGGCTTGTATTGGAGTGAGGCCGTGTCCCAAGGGTTCTCTGGCCTTTGGAGACTATGGCTCCTGAAAATTTTTTCTTAGGCTTTCCAGGAATTACAGGGAGTTGCTTCATGTCAGACACACAAATTCTTAAAGAACTAGTCACCATGGATGGTGGATCACCCCAGAGTTTAAAAGGGGCCTCTTCCCCTCAGTAGCAAAGAGCTCTCACTTTGCTTCTTCTAACCTACCCATCTAATGCTTCCAACAAAAGAGCAAACCACGGCAATAAGAGATGAACTCTTAAACCCTTTCCCTCCACCTTGAAGTCCTTTCCAGCCCACAGACATTGAGACAATAAATACTGAAACAATCACTTCAGGTCAGTGTGTGACAGAAAACAAGAGTGATTTTAAAAAGTAGCCCTCCAGTGAGAGGGGAAAAACCCAGCCCAGAAAGTGGTAGAAACTCATATCTTGACAGAGAAGCCCACCGCCCAGAGGATAGTGTGTGGGAGGAGTGAAAGCTCATATAAATTTTTCCTAGAAAAAGGGCTGGATCGAAATAATCAAAGTGTAATGTAAAAGTATACCTTCCTAAAGTAAAAACAGTAGGTCACTGATACTCTTATCATTGAAAGGCAGTTCAAACTTCCCTAGACTTCAAAACAAAAATCTTTGTGTTATTGGGTAGAAGAAATCTTGGGACAAAAAGGAAATTGGGGAATGACAATGGGAATGACAAGAATTCATGGGTCAGAGTTGCAAATGCAGATGCTTTTAGTGTGTCCTGCTTTAGCCAGGAGCAACTTCTTCCTCCGTCCGATAGGCTCACCGGCTGGGGGTCTCAAAACTCCACCGATTTTGGTAAATGTGAGCAAGCATCTTAAGTTGCTTCAGAACTCAGTTGCACCCCCCTACCCAACCCCCCAAATAACAGGATCGGGTTCTGAATATATCTATATATACAAGTGCCTTCTAATTTTTATACTCTTTTCAGAGAGGAGGAAAATAACGATAATAGTGGTCAATGTTATTGATTGCTACTAAATGTCTTCCTTGGAAACTGACCCATGGTCATGTATCAAGGGGAGATGCTTGGCTTACTTTGGGGACGATACTCCACTGTTACCTACTCGGTTTCAAAGAGAAAAATGTTGGAAGCAGGGACCAAAATATTCAAGGTGCACTGCACACACTGAAGGGCTTGTCAAAGCAACTGGCTGGGTACTAGGGGATCGTGGGAGAAGAAAATGATATAAGTCGACCCATTGTACAGCAGCGCTGAAGGCCAAATCCACGTGCCAGCTTCCTTATATTTGCCAAGCGCTACGCAGACCTTGTTGATGAAGAGGAAACTGAGGCATTCCACAGGGGTCAGAGTTAGGGCAAAGGTCACTCCTGGTTGAGGCAGAGGCAGGATGAAAGCACTTACGTCGGAGGATCTCCCGTTGCTTTCGGACGTACCAGGTGTACAGGGCGGCGCGCTTCTGGGTCTTCATAGGGGTGCCCTTGTTGAGATGCTGGGAGAGGTGTGACTGGTTCAGGCCGGTGACATCGACCACCTCCCTCTGGGGGATGTTATGTTGCTGCATGTAGCCCTTGATCATTTTGGCAGCCCTCCAAGGGTCCTCGCTAGACAGATAAGCAGATGGTTAGGATGCTGGTAGAAGAGGTCGGGGAGAAATACCCTCTTTCTAGAGGTTTTACCTAAACTCTGTGGAAAACTCTGACCTTCCCCTGCTTCTCCTCCTGTCCCAGTTACATCCTGGGGAGAGGCCAAAATAGAACCTAAACAAAAGAGGAGATGAAAGCTCCTATATAGTGTACTCCATCCCTTTCATCTGAGATTAGGAGGGCAAAGAGGAAGATGATTTCCCTGCTTCAGGAATGGGAAAGCACCCCAGCACTGTCTCTGGGGAAGCAGAAAGAGAAGTTCCTGCTTTATCTTGCTTTCCTTCACTTTCCTGGAATGTGAGAGACTTAAACAAAGGCAAGAGGCCCACTGGACAGTGCAGGTGCCATTAGCTTGGGGCTGGGCTGGCTGATCCGACAATGACAGAGGGCAGAATCTCTAAATTCACCTGGACTGCCCTCCCATTATTTTCCTTCAGAATGGGTGTCTCCGTTTCTTGTCTTCTAAAACAGGAGTAAAACTCTTGTGTCCACCTCCTGAGAAGCAAGGAGGACTTCTTAGCCAAATGTTAAACAGTTTTCAGAGTTTCAGAAAAGTTTTAAGAAATGATGTTCCTCCCTGGGGCTGAAGAATCACTGCACTGAGGTGAGGCTGGTAAAGTTAAAAAAAAAAAAAAAAAATCTTCACAGCCCCGCCTCTCAAATAAGACCAAAAGGAGGGAGAATAATTTCAATTTCGGAATAAGATATGAATGATTCCAAATGCCATGTTTTCCTGTATTCTTACATTTCTCCTCTGACAGGGTAAGAGTGTCTGGAAGTTAATCTTTCTCATAAATTTTAAGCTTGGGATAAGAGCTTGCATTTCTCATAAACACAGGTAATGCAAAAAGCTTCTTTAGAACACTGTATTAGTGCCTTTGAATTGATTCCAAATGTTTTCAACTTTGCCAATATCTTTTCTTGCTTATTGAATAGGTGACTTAAAAGTGAGAGATATAATTGAAAACAGAAATTAAGAAAACAGTGCACAGTATAGAACAAAAATATTCAAAAAACAATACCTCCACATATACTATTTGTTTAATGCAGCTACATATTTAACTTTAAAAAAACCCAGCATCCCTTTACTGTATGTTCATGTATATAATAGCCTGACAGAACATGAAAAAAAGTGAAGGGAAAAAGTAGTTTCAGAGGTAATAAAACACAATGCTGAAAAGCAACATTTACAGTGTTGCAGATGAAATAACTGATTTATTTCTAAATGGTATCTATAACATGTCAACTAAAGTTATGTTTGTGTAATGAAGTTTTAAAAATCCAGTAATTAAACTGAGATTTTTGTAAGCATTTGAAAAATTGTGATCATTTTAGCAAGTCTTTAATATTAAATTTATGAAAACACAGGCTTTGATAGACATGTTTTGAGAAATACAAACAAAAGATTAATTACATATAGCTTAATATATTTCTCAAGTATTTATAAAGGTACTTCCATGTAATACAAAATAATGAACTAACAACAGGAACAAAAAATGAGGAACTGCGTCCCAGTTTCAAGCATGGAGAATTCACCTTGAGTAAGAGGAAAGTAATGTAACATTTTGCACATACCCGTGTAAACATCAGAGCTCATTTAAAATCTTATTTCTGGTGAATATTTCCACAGATATTTTCAGGGTAGAAAAACACCTTCAACGGATACCAACAATAGCTTCAAAAGTTAGAAAAAGTATTTGGATTTTAAAAGTTAATGCTGCTTCGACAGATTCGTTGACTTTTTTAGTTTTGCTTAATATTTTTTTACTTGTATTTATTTCGTATGTCTAAGAAACCTAACAGAAATTGTGTAATGTTCTAAAAGCGAATGATTCCGTTGTTAAGAGTGAATTAGCTTAACAATTGGGAAGGGTTAAAAAAAAAAAAACCAAACCAGTAAGACCTTATAAACCATAGCAAATCTTTCAGCCCGCATTGAAGGACCAGAGTTGGGGATAAGATGGCGTAGTTACACCTTTACAGCTCTGACCACAGAATTCTCATGCGTTCACCGGATAGAGCCCCGAGAGTCGGTTACGTTTTGAAATTTGAAAATACAGCCCGTGATCAGGGGTTCCCAACCCCGATAAACACACAAAACGGGAGAAGCGCGCCCGGGCATTGTGCTCAGGACGCAGGTGTCAAGCGCCCGACCTCGGCGCCCGCCTGGCCAGCCCAGCACGCTCCTTTCCAAACAATGCCTCGGCCGCCCACAAGCAGAGAGGTCCTGGACCCCGTCTCAGATCGCTGTGATTCTTCTTTAAGAAGCCTCAAGCCCGGCCTCTTGGGAGCAACCAACTTTCCAACTTTCCACCGCGCGCCAGCCTAGAGCTGGGGCCGGGGACCCGGCAGCGCGCAGCCCCCGGCCTGCTTTTCTCGCCTTTCTCTTCCAGGAGATGGAAAGAGCGGCCGGGCGCTCCCCAGAGTGACTTGCCCCGTTCTTTTCTTTCCGCCTTAGGGGAGCGAGGTGGGCCAAAAAGGGAGTGCGTGCGTCTGGCGGTCAGCAGCCGACTGTGCAGTGACCTGGGGACCGCTAGCGATTTCTTGAAAAATTACTTTAATCAAGTCTGGCCACTCCCGAAGTTGGGGGAGGGAAGGCAGCAACCGCTGGGGAAAGGGAGCGAAACCTTGGGGTCTGTCCTGCGTCCCCCCGCCTCAGCGGGGGTCTCGGGCCCCCTAGTCTCGCTCCCCGCCCCCTGGAGCCGGGGGCTCTGCTCAGCGAAGAGCGCTGAGGTCCAGGGCTCCGGGCCGGGCCTGGCTCTCTGCCCGCCGGGCCTGCGGCGTCGGCGGCCCTGGGGCAGCCCGGGTCTGGCGCCGGGTCTCCGGGCGGCGCGGGGGCTCGGCTGGGAGGGCCCGGCAGCGCGGTGCGTGTGCTCGGGCAGCAGCGAGCGGCCCCGCGTCCGCGTTCTGCTTTCCTTCCCCCTCGAAGCCGCCGCGTTTACAACTTCACCAATGAATAACCCGCCTCTCCGTTCAACCTAATCACGACTTTTTGTGTATCTTTCTGTTGATGATTTATAGAAATAAATTAATAACACCCGAACTCCACGTGCTGCAGTTTATATTACATCTCTGCCGCGTCCAGACCGGCGTGGGGCTGGGTGCCGAGGGGCGCCCCAGGTCGCCTCGGGCTTCCCACGTCCTTCCAAATCCCAGCTGGAAGGCGGGCGCCTGCGGCCAGGCAGATGGGCCTAGGTACCGGGGCCGGGGTGGGGGTGGGCCCGCCGGTGGGCGGCGGGAGATCGGTCGGTCCGCCGGGCCCGGGTCAACCTCCGGGCCGCCCTGGCGCCCCAGCCGTTCCTCTTCAGACCCCTCTCACCTTCCTGCACCCTAACCCCGGCTGGGGAGAAACCGCCGCCGCGGGCGAAACCGCGAGGGAAGAACCTCAAACCTCAGAACTGTAGCAACATAATTTCCGGAAGTAAAAAAAATCTAGAAATTCCCCTGACTGTTTTGCTAGAGAGTAAGCCGCCGGGTCCCCAGGTAGCAAATTCAAATGCAAGGTCATATCCCATCCCAAACTGCCACTGCGGGCGGGTGACCGAGGCTGCCCGAGTCCCTGGCGCGACTTTGGTCCTGGCCCTGTCTAGGGACCGCGGCTCTGAAGGGTCCGAGGCCAAGCGAGGGGCTTGGTCCTAAAGCAGAGTGGCCGGGAGCGACGTGCGGTCTAAGGGGACCGCTCGGCTCCTTGGATAATTAGTAACCAGCTGTCAAAGCCCTGGGCCGCTCGGGGAGTTTTAGCAAAAGACCCGGGGCCGGGAGATAGACCTCCCGCCAGCCTGCTCGGATTCCCCAGGGACGCCGGGGTGTCGGCGGCGAGATCCGGAAACGCCCTCCTTTCTCCCACCAAATCCGCTGCGAACTGGGGTCTTGGCCACATTTTCCCCTCGCTTGCTTAGTGACGTGGTTTCTTTTGCCGCTTGAGGATCCACCCTAACCTGACAACGTGCAAACATTTCCTTTCGCGAATCTAAACGGGCTTTGGGGATTCCGGATAGCCCTGGGGTCTTGCACGGGCGCTGTAAATGGGAGCGCACTCCAGATAAGTCGCCCCCCAGATCCCGGCCCGGGTGCCGCCTGTCCCTCTGCCAAGAGAGGCAGGACGCCGTGTCCCAGGCCGGCGGCGTTTCCCCGGACCGCGGAGTTGGTACCTCGGAGAAAGGCTTGGCCTGGGGCTGATGCGGGCCCGAGCCTGGTCTCCTGGGAATCGCAGCGGTTTCACTGCGCCCACTCGCACCTTCCGCCGCGTGGGCAAACCTCCGGGCAAAGGGCCCCGCAGCTCGGGTTCTCCCAGGCCGAGCCCCAGCCCGGCCGGGAGGGCCCCGCGGGTCCCGGGCACTGGCCTGGGCAGGCGTTCCTGAAGCCTCGGGGCTCGGGCCGTCCAGTTGAGGGACTTGGACGGTTCCAGGTGTTGGGAGAGAAGCGGAGCGCCCCCCGGGGGACTTCTCTGGTGGGAACCAGGCTTGGCAAGAGCGGTCGCGCGCAGTGTCGCTCAGGCACAAGGCCGGGGGCTCAAGGGTCTCGGGCGCACACTCCGCACCTCGGTCCGCGCCTACCTGAGCATCCGGTCCACCTCCGCCCGCTGCTCCGCCGCCTCCTCGGTGTTGAGGGCTTGCAGCTCCTTGAGGATGGGAGGGGTGTCATAGTCGTCCCCGTCCTCGGAGCCCTCGTCCCCGGACAGACGGCCCTTGGCGTGGCCGTTCGTGAGAGTATGGAAGACCGGCTTGGTGTCCGGCTCGGCCCCGCTCCCAGGGGACAGGGGCAGCGTCTCCAGCTTCACCCCGAAACTCGGGGATGGCAGCAACTCCTCCAAGGCCTGGACCAGCACCTCCTTGGTGACCCCGGAGCTCAGCAGGGCGCTCAGGAGTTCTTGCTGGAGCGACGTGAGCTTGGACACCATTTTCCAAGGACAGAAAAAGAAGGGGGTGAGGGGGTGGGGGGGTGGGTGGGTGCGAGAGAGGAGGGTGGAGGGGAGTTTCACAAGCGAACCCCAAGTCCAGGAACCCCCCCACCCTTCAGCCTCCAAACACCTGTTACTCCCCGGGGTCCGGAGTCTCCTCCGAGAGGAGTCAGAAAACTTCTAACTTGCCATGATCGCCACCATTAGGCCATATAAGATATGCAAATTAGCGGGGAGGGCCCGGCTTTCGGCCCGATGCAAATGGTCGTGGGGAGGGGGGAAAACCGAGAGAGGGAGAGCGTGAGGGGCAGACGGGGAGAGCAAGAGACCCGGGCCGGGAGCGGGGCTGCCAGGGTCCATTGTACTCACGCCAGGGGGCCGAAGAGATTCTTGTCCTGGTTCTGTTTATCAGCCAAACTTTAGCTGACCTTTGGACTTGTTAAACAAGTAGCTTGCAGCCTAGTGTGGAAGGCTCCGGGACTTTTCCACCGGCTGCGGGTCCGGCTTTAGTCCGGAGAGAAGAAGAAACTGCGCTTCGGGGGTTCAGGTGAGAGCTGGAGGAAGCTGGGGCGCTCTTGGAAGAAGGAGATGGAGGAGGATGCGAAGAGCAGAGACCCTCCGACGCGTCCCAACCGACGCAGGCGATGGGCCGGGAGAGCCAGGCGGGCGGAGGATAAACTGACCGCAGGGGAATGGACGCGGAGAGCTGGGGGAAATGGGGCGTATTAGGTGGGGTGAGTGTGGATTGCGGGGGCGGTGGTCCCATTTACTTCTACCTGAGTTACCGCTCTGCGGACCCCGGGCCCTCACCAGCTGGGTCTAGCGGTTTGGATTTGCACAACTGCCGGCCCGAGAGCGTAGGCCAGCGGGAAGGAGGTCCGGAGAACACTTGGGAGGAGGAACCGACTAATTTATGACCAGAGGGAGTAGCCAAAGTTGAGCTCCCCCAGCAGCGGGGCTGCACCAGCACCCAGCCTGGCCGAGCCGCGGAAAGCTGGACGCCTGGGCCACTGGGTTCCCCGGTTTAAACCAGGACTATCAAAGCGCCTCCGCTTTCGGGGCGAAACTAGGATTGCTGGGCCTCCTTTCTGGCAGTGAAAGCAAAGCTTGGCCTGCAGCTGGATGGACAGTTGGAGCTGCACGTTCTCTGGGCCCACTGATTTCTGGTTTATTCGCAGCTCCAGGACACAGCGGTTCCCGGGGCCAGGGGCGGTGTTCTGCAGAGGCGAGGTCAAGGTGGCCCTGGCAGGCGTCTCCCACGCCAAGTTGGGAAGGCGCGGACTAAGCCGCCGGGGGAAAGAAGTATTTTTCCACGCCGGCCTGGCCCAGGAAGGAAGCCGGGAACCTTTCAGCACTATTGGAGTTTCACCTGCCTCTCCCTGAGGCGCCCAGGGGAAGGAAGGATGCAGGAGTCGCACCCAGACCTACAGGCTGGACTGGACCTGCAGAAGAACAGGGGCTTTTTAGGATCCATCGCTCACAGTCCCATAGTTCCTGGGGCAGAGAACAACCCCCTCCCCTCTCTAGGCCTCACGTTCATCATCTGTGCAATATTGAAACCTAAAGTGCAGGGGATGGGGCATTGTACGCAATGAATGAGACCACCTGTGAAACCCCGTGGTCTAACAATAGTGTTCACGCTTTTCCTTCCGGGAAGGTAGGAAGCCAGTTTCCAGTAGTAAAATCTAGCCCCTCTGGAGGTTTAGGAGTCTCAGAATCAGGCAGATCCAGTGCTGGGGTTGGAGGGACCGGGAGATTCAGAATGAGCAGGGAATTTGCAAAGGAGCTTCTAAGCAAATTCTCCTCCCTTCCCACCTTTAAAAGACAATTAGGAGGAAGGGGTAATTTCAGCACGGGTTGGGGTGGGGAGGGTCTGCAGCCCTGTCTGCTTGTTTCCGGATCAAATCTCCCAGGTGTGTGAGGGCTGAAACTCCAGATGTCAGGCTGCTAAGGAGCTAGGCTGCCTCTTAAATACGGGGACTGCTCCACTCGCCTGGGCCACCCATGAGAAAGGGGTGGTTGTATGCACAGAGCTCTGGGGGACCTTTACACCGTCTCAGTGTCTTTCCCGGAGAAAGGGGTAATAAGTTCATAGAAACGAGGGCTCTTCATTTCACCTTATTGTCTTCTAGTTTGTTGTGACATACGGCAGATCCTTGCCCCTCACAATTCAGCCCAATGGGAGAACACTTTCTGCCAACCCAGCTCCCCTCAACAGGGATAATGAAGTGTTCAGAGTAAATGTCCCTGGAGAACAATTGCTTTTTCTCTGTCTCTCACTGACTATCAGGATAGAAGCAGTCAAGTGTAATGAAGATCAGTTTCTGTGTTTAGCTGGAAAACCCATTAAAAAACCAGCCATCACTTCCCTTTTAACAACAAAGCTTTGATTTGTAGTTCCAACTGCTGTGTGCCCCGTCCGACTCTCAAGCTTCCTTACCTCTCAAAATTCAGGTGTCAGAAAACCCATTCTTCCCCCTACCCCAAGCCAACTATGGGAATGTACAGGAAGTTGCACAGAGTACAGGGAAACTTCCTATGCGTGTCCAGATAATCTGGCTATTAATATCCAGCAACTTCCTGTAACCCTCCTGTCCAGATCTACCTTGTATACACCACCTGATGCAATATGGGTGCCCACCAACCAAGTAACTGCAACTATGGATCTGTGAGCAGATCCAATATCTACCCCTTCACATGGAAATTTAAAAAGAAAAGTGTAAGTATCCCACTTCTCTTTTTAAGGATGTGGGTCACAAATGCTAACCAAATGAGCTATCGCAATAAACCCTTTGGTTAAGCTTCCCCTAAACAGAGGAAGCCAGAGTACAGCTGAAAAACCCTTGTTTATGCTTCACGCAGGATAAAGTAGTGACGGGCTGATATAGTAGCCCCATTTTAAAGAAATGGGAAAAGAAGACATAGGACATTTGAAGGAGGTGGCTTGGAGCTGCTGTAATAAGTTAATGGAAGGGTTGAGACCGGGGCTCAGGACTCTTGAGCAGGGCTTTAGGATGAAAGAGGAAGGGCTCCAGTTTCACTGCTTTGGGAGATGGGAAGTTAAAAGGGGGAATTCTGCTGTGATTCCACGGCAGAGAATAGAGAGCAGATGTTGGAGTCAAACAGACCTAAATTTGGGTTCTCCAATCTGCTTAGCCAGCTGTGCCACTTGGGCACACTATATAATCCTTCTGAGCCTCAGTTTCCTTAGGTGGAGAATAATGATAATACTCTACTGTGTTTTTGTGGAGATTAAATGAGTTGGTAGCTGCAGGTTCCTGGATATCACATGTTTAGAAAGAGGCAGCACATCATGAAAACACGCCAAGAAGAGAGGCGGCCGATCTCTTTGGTCTCTTTTATTCCCAGCTTGTTCTTTTAAGAGTTACTGAATTCGAAGAGACCGCATTAGGTTCTTCTACTCAAACAATGAATTCGCTGCTCAAATCCCAAGATTTTCTATGGGAAATGTAGTCCCTGATCCAAGATAAGTTAAAATCCAGATGGCTCATTACTGTAGAAAGGTTTTCTGGGCACCATCTTGGAAGTTTCATAGAATGGCAAGTGTGACTGCCATGGACTCAGTCTCTCCTGTAACTTCACGGCATAAAGGATATTTCTTTCCTGCTCTTGTGCACACAATCTTCCCCCTACTTTCCAGGCTTACCCTGATTTGCTTATAGCAGGGAGAGCCTGGTCCCCTCCGTTCTCTGCTGCTCTACTCTCCAAGGCTTTCACATTGATTCGGGAGAGTCTCTAGAAGGCCTCAAAATGAAATCATCTCTAGAGGAAAACATGAATACTGCCCTATCCTAGTCGGAAGGAGGCTGGGAGCCTTACTGTTAGAGAGCAGTGTTGCAGCCTAGAGAACGTTTTAGGCTGTGGTGTTAGAGCCTGAGTTTCCAGCTCTGGATACAACACTCTTTTCGGGATAACCCTTCACCTCCAAAGGCTCGGCTGGGCACCTTTTCTGATTCTGCTTTTGAAAAATGGCCGGTTGGTCTGGATGACCATTTAAGTTCCCTAACTTTGCTATGATTTGAAATTCCGGAATTACCAGGGTGTCCATTGCCAGGCATTTGGGCTGATGATCCATGACCTCAGGCCAGAACTCTGGGTAGTGCCAGACATGGGACTGTTGACTAGCCTGTGAGAAAAGACACCACAGACAGTAAGCTCCAAGAGGGCAGGGACCATCTCATGCCTTACTCCTCAATGCCCGGAGAGGTGCCTGATCCATAAAAGATGCTCAGTGAAACCCTTGTTGAATAAATGAAAAAGTGATCATCCCTGCATGATGCCATTAAGGGTGATTTTTTTTTTTTTTTTGCGGTACGCGGGCCCCTCTCACTGTTGTGGCCTGTCCCGTTGCGGAGCACAGGCTCTGGACGCGCAGGCTCAGCGGCCATGGCTCACGGGCCCAGCCGCTCCGCGGCATGTGGGATCCTCCCGGACCGGGGCACGAACCCGTGTCCCCTGCATCGGCAGGCGGACTCTCAACTACTGCGCCACCAGGGAAGCCCTAAGGGTGATTTTTGTGTCCTTATTTATACTTCTTAATTTTCCAAGTTGTCAGCAATGAAGTTGTAGTTTAAATACCTTTCCCAGACACAAAAGGGTATACACTGTGTGATTCCATTTATATGAAGTTAAAAAGCAGGAAAAACTAATCCATGGTGATAGAGGGTAAATTTGAGGTTATTGGGGGATGTATTCACAGGGATGGGTAATGAGGGAGCTTTCTGGGGTGCCTAAAAAGTTCTATATCTTGATCAGAATGGTGGATACATCATCAGGCTACACACTTAGGATTTGTGCATGTTGCTGTAAATGCTAACTTAGTAAAAAGTAAATAAGCAATTCCAAAGTGTAAAGTGTAAACATTGGCAGCCACCTCCTTACTGCCCCCTCTGTTTACAGCTGATGTGTGGCCCTGTACATTCTTTCCCAATCTCCATGTGTAGTTTATCACCATTGAAACTTATAGACTAGCATATTCCAGGGGTGGGCAAACTTTTCTTACGAAGGGCTAGATAGTATTTTAGGCTTTGTGGGCTTATACTCTGTCACAACTACTCAACTCCGCTCTCACAGGCAATACGTAAATGATTCGTATGGCTGTGTGCCAATAAAACCATTTTTGAAAACAGCTGCGTGGCTGGATTTGGCCTGTGGGCCACCGTTTGTCAACCCTTGGATAAAGCACCGGTGTAGGCGGAGATCCACATACCTGAAAGAGACCTGAGGGGCATCTCACTTCACTTCCTCATCATTGGGATGAAGAAGCGGATTCAGGGAGGAGCAGATTCAGGGAGGAGAAATGACTTTCCCAAGAGATATCAATATTAGCACAGGGCACTGGGGAGATCCTGGCTTTGGAGTCAAATAGAGCAGTTGTTTGTGGGTGTGGCTTTGGGCAAGTTACTTAATTTGAGTCTTTATATTATCACCATGCGTCAATGGTGATAATAATGGAATTTCTACCTCCTAGGGTTATTGGAAGGATTAAATTAGATAACACAGCAAAACACCTTGTAGGGGGGCTGGCACAAGCTGGACTTGGTTTCAAATCAAGTGCTTTCTCAATCATAGCACACGGCTCACGGGCTCCCTGCCGCCTCCCTTCCTTCCCTCCTCCTAAAGGCAAGACTTCTGGTGTAAGTTCACTGACAAACACCACTGGGTGTGTACTACCTGTGAAGCCCT